TCTCTCTGCACCTCCCCTCCAAACCCTGAGCCCAAGTCAGCGCCAGAATGCGGAGGCGGGAGCGGTGCTGGAGGGGCAGAGGGAGGGGGGTCCTAATGGATCAAGGAGTCTAACTTTATGCACTCTGACCTCTCAGTGCTATCCCAAACCTCCTCTATATCCAAAATCAAAGCCTCCTTCTGTGTAAACTCCCCTTAACCTTGATCTGGGATTGTACTGCAGGGAGATGCCCGAGTGGGCTCTGGTTCCTGCTGTGCGGAGAGTAGTTGCTGGGCTTGGACCCTCCCCCTCCTTATACTGCCACTGCTGTGTGCTCTGGAGAACTCAGAGTGTTCCCTGCTCTAGTCTCCCCTCCACACGGCTTTGTCCAGCGGTGTCACTTCTCACCAACTTCAGGCACCTCCCGGCCTACATGGAAGTGGAGCTCGGTGTTGGAGGGGGTGTTTCTCAGCCCCGGGTATGGCTGGCCCCACTGCCAGCTGGCAGTGGCTTAAACCACGCCTCGCTCCCTCCCTGTTGTGTTCCTCCAAATCCCCGATTTTTGTGGAAGAATAATCGATTCACCTTTGCTTTAGGCTGTAAATGGTCTTATCCCTCCATTTCCTGCTGGATGTCTGTAGGCTTGTGAAGCTGGTCCCATGGAAGTGCAGATTGCTGGAGTGTGGCTATCCACTTTCTTCACTTTCACTCTGGGAGCAGAGAGCCAGGAGCCCCTCCACCTGCCCAATACCTTTACTGTTACCTATGTGTCCACTTAGTGCTACTCAGTTAATACCAGTTTGCTGGTGATATATGTGGTGCTCGTTTTTCCATTCTTGGGATACTACACATAGTAGCATGGGTTCCAGCTCTAACCAGGAAATACAAGATGTGCTATATCACCATTGTTCTTAGAGCTGAATATGTACTCCATGGTATACATATACCACTTATTAATCCATTCTTGGATTGATGGGCACTTGGGCTGTTTCCACAGCCTTGCAATTATGAATTGTGCTGCTATAAACATTCGGTGCAGGGTGCTTTTTGTAGAGTGTCATTGGATCTTTTGGGGTCGATGCCAAGCAATTGGATTGCTGGATAAAATGGTAGACTCACTTGTATCGCTTTGTATCACTTGTATCTCCATATTGCTTTCCACAGAGCTTGAACTAGTTTACAGTCCCACCAGCAGTGTAGGAGTGTTCCTCTCTCTCCGCATCCATGCCAGCATTTGTTATTTGGAGACTTTTAGATAAAGGCCATTCTCACAGGAGTTAAGTGATATCTCAATGTGGTTTTGGTTTGCATTTCCCTGATGATTAGAGATGTTGAGCATTTTTTCATATGTTTCTTGGCCATTCTTCTGTCTTCTTTAGAAAAGTTTCTGTTCAAGTCCTTTTGCCATTTTTTAATAGGGTTATTTGATTTTTCTTGCTGATTTTCGAGAGTTGTAAGTATATTCTAGTTTATCGCCCATTATTGCATACATAGGGAAAATTTTCTCCCATTCTCGTAGGTTGGCTGTATACTTTCATGACTGTTTCTTGGCTGTGCAGAAGCTTTTTAGTTCATCAGTCCATTGTATTTATTTTTGTTGCTGCTGTGATTGCTTTGACAACCTCTTCATAAACTCTTTGCCTAGGCCGATGTCTAGGAGACTGTTTCCAACATTTTCCTCTAGAATTCTAATAGTTTCATACCTTAGGTTTAAGTCTATTATCCAGCATGAGTTGATTTTTGAGAGGTGAAGGTGTGTAGGTCCTGCTTTAGCCTTTACAGGTGGCTATCCAGTTTCCAGCACCATAAATTGAAAAGGGATTCTTCTCCCAGCATATTGTTTTGTCTGCTCTTGTCAAAATACGAGTACTTATGAGGATGGTTTTATATCAGGATTCTCAGATCTGCTTCACCGGTGAATATCTATTTTTGTGCCAATACCAGATTGATTTAGTTACTACAGCTTTGTACTACAGTTTGGGATATGGGCACATTAACTCCAATTTTGTTTTCTTGCTAGAATTGTTCTGTTTATTTTTCTTTTTTATTTCGGCATATTATAGGGGTACAGATTTAAGGTTTCAATAAATCCCTTTTCCTCCTAACCCCTAAGTCTGGAGTCTCCAGGATGACCATCCCCCAGATGGTACACATCTCACTCATATATATGTATATACACGCCACCTCCCCCTCCACCTGCCAATCCCTTCACTGTAGTACCTATGTGTCCACTTAGGTGCTCCTCAGTTAATACAATTTGCTGGTGACTATATGTGGTGCTTTTTTCCATTCTTGGGAAACTTCACTTAATAGTATGGGTTCTAGCTCTAACCAGGAAAATATAAGATGTGCTCAATCACTGTTGTTTCTTAGAGCTGAATAGTACTCGATGGTATACTATACAATTTATTTAACTTCTTGGATGATGAGCACTTGGGCTGTTTCCACAGCCTTCATTATGAATTGTGCTGCTATAACATTCGAGTGCAGGTTATCATTTGTAGAGTGTCATTGATCTTTTGGTAGATGTTCAGCAATTGGGATTGCTGGATCAAATGGTAGATTCACTTGTATCACTTCAAGGTATCTCATATTGCTTTCCACAGAGGTTGAATAGTTTGCGGTCCACCAGCAGTGTAGGAGTGTTCCTCTCTCTCTGCATCTCGCCAGCATTTATGTTTGGAGACTTTTTGATAAAGGCCATCTCACTGGAGTTAAATGATATCTCATTGGGTTGATTTGAATTTCCCTGATGACTAGGAATGTTGAGCATTTTTTCATATGTTTCCCATTTTCAGTCTCTTTGAAAAGTTCTGTTCAGTCTTGTCCACTTTTAATAGGGTATTTTATTTTCTTCCTGTTTTGAGTTCTAAGTATATTCTAGTTATCAGCCTCTATCGGATGCGATAGAGCACAACATTTCTCCATCTGTAGTTTGTTGTACTTCATGACTAATCTTGGCTGTGCAGAAGCTTTGTAGTTTGATCATGTCCCATATTTTCTGTGTTGTTTCTGTGTTGCCTTGGGACTTTTTCATAAACTCTTTCGCAGGCAATGATTCTAGGGAGACTGTTTCCAACTTTTCCCTCTAGAATTCAAATAGTTGCATACTTAGGTTTAAGTCTGTTATCCAGCGTGATTGATTTTTGTTGAGGGTGAAAGGTGTGGGTCCTGTTTTAGCCTTCTACAAGTGGCTATCCAATTTTCCAGCACCATTTATTAAAGGGATTCTCTTCCCAGCATATGTTTTTGTTCTGCTTTGTCAAAGATTAGATGCCTATATGAGGATGGTTTAATATCAGGATTCTCACATCTGTTTCACTGGTCAATATTCCTATTTTGTGCCATACCATATTGATTTAATTCCTACAGCTTTGTAGTATAGTTTGATATCTGGCATATTAATACATCCCATTTTGTTTTTGTTGCCTAGAATTGCCTTTGATATTCAGGGTCTTCTTTGGTTCTATAGGAAGCGTAAAAGTAGTTTTTCTATATCTGTGAAGAATGGGGATGGGATTTTAATAGGTATTGCATTGAATCTGTAGATCAGTTTGGGTAGTATAGACATTTTAATGATGTTGAGTCTGCCGTCTTACAGCTGTAAGCTGTCGTCTTACAGCTCTTAGAAGGACCTCTTTAGTTGAAATTTTGGTCAGTCTAATGACTGCATGTCGTGACATCTTCCTGTTTGCATTGAATCTCCCAGGGTCTTCTGAGCTTCTTGAACTGTATATCGAGATTTTGACAAGGCCTGGGAAATTTTCCTCTAATATATCTTCAAATAGCTTGTCCAACCCTTCAGTGTTGTCTTCTTCCCCTTCTGGTAACCCTATGACCCTCACATTAGGTTTCTTCACATAATCCCACAGCTCTTGTAGGCTTTGCTCTTTTCTCTTGCATTCTTGTCTTATCTCGTGACTGATTTATTAATTGGAAGTTGTTCCTCAGCAAGGAAGACGCGGCAACTGGAGTTCTTCTGACAGTGCTTTAATGGGGTTCCCTTTAGACTTACATGATGCGGAAGACCCAGCCCGGCAGCACGCAGGCTGCTATATACCCTAGAAGTACAACCCCTAAGCTGGGATAGGCCGCTCAGCTGTCGAGCCGCCAAAGCATTGGTCCATAGTAGGATCCTTCATTTGCATGCTTGCGCCACAGGGTAACCGACAATTGCGCGTGTGCTGAACTTGTTTACTGCTCTAGGCAAAGCCGGAAACAGGCGCCATCTTGTAATGGTGTTGACACCGCGCCCCACATTGGATGGCTCTCCAGTGCTGTTGTCTCTACAGTTCCTCTTAGATAATTCTGGAGCCTACAAGTTGTTATTGCCACATTCGGATGCCCTATAAGGATCGGTTGAGAAAAGCACCAAATCTGAGAAAGAAAAGGCAGATCTGTATGAACCTGCCAGTATAGAATAATGTCTGACAACCTACTGATAGATTCTCCTTCAGTAGACCACTAAACTGTTGGCAAAAGCCCCATTTTCCACAGGCCTGTTCTGGGAATTTGATGCGTCCATTCTGAATGTCACTCAACTCTGCTAATTAATTCCTAATCTTCTTCCAGCCTTCTGTATTCCTTGTTCGTACCAAACTGGACACTTTGAGATCTGGTATCCTATAACTTCTACTAAAGAGGAAGCTCTGGGGAGCTGGGGGAGCCTCCAATCCAACCAGAGAACCCTTTGAAAGAGCAGAGGTGACAGGGATGCCTAGCTGGGCTGGTAACACTCACTGTCACCCGAAGCAAACCCTCGGATTCCTCAGCTTTCTCACTGGGAAAACGGGCCCGTTGCAGCTCGCTTGGATCAATAGCCTAAGATACGAGATGGTGAAAAACCCTTGAAGAGTAACGCAACGCAACGGCGGTCGTGTTAAAACCAAAGAGCTACACCAGTCCTCGATTCCGCCAGCCCAAACCCGCCACACTAACAGAACACCCGAGCCAGGGGTACTACAGCCTGGGACCCTGGCGCACGCCAGGCGTGGACGCGCCGCCGCTGCCATGGAGACGCTGACGTTCCCCCGGAAGCCCGGCCGCTCCCGCCTCCAGTTCTTGGCTGACTTCCCTGTGTCCTTTTAGGATGCCCAGGAGGTCCGACCTTGGTGATCTTAACCCCTTCTCTTCCGAGGGCCCGCGTGGTTTCCACAGAGCTGGGGAATCTCCGGGCGCTTTTATTCCCTCAGCAAAAGTGCCTTCTGAGAGGGCGGGAATAAAACGGGCAGCGCTGGAGAGCTGGTTGAACCTCAGATACAACCAGAGAACCCTTCAGAAGAGCAGAGACAGAAGGGGAAGGGAGAAGAGGGAGGCGGGAGGGGCAAAGCGAGGAGGCTGGGGGTAAATAAGAGTGGAAAGAGGTGAGGATGAATGGGATGGACGCTTTAGAGAAGGCAGGCGCTGGGAGGAGAAAGTGGAGTTCCCAAGGGCTGGATCTGAAAGGAGGACAGAATGGCTATATAGGGGAGAAACTTTATGACCGTGTCCATAGGTTGTCAGAGGGAAAGGGGAGTGCACGCACACTGGAGGGGAGACAGCCTGAATTAGGGTGGCATTTCTGGTAGGCGTGATGGGGACGGGGATAATGGAAGTTTTGCTTCTTTGGATGCTCCATCCTTCAATTAAAGTAATAATAATCAAAGTTTCTACACTTGAAGACATCTCTATCTGCCTGCTGATATCCATGTGGATAATTCAGAAAAGCAGATTCTCTTCCAAATTCGGAGGTTATCACTTCTTCCTCTGCAACTTCACAGAACATCTTATTACATTTATTATGTAAGAAGGGTTCTTTGAGTGGCACACTTCCTCCAGCACCTTCTCACTGTTGGCTAAGTGTTACTTCCTAAGTGAATCAAAAGCCATGATTCATAATGGCCAAAAATGGGAAACAGTCCAAATGTTCTCCAACAGGAGGATGGATTTTATAAATGTAGTATGTCCATATAATGGGATATCACTCAGCAATAAAAAGGAATGAACTACTGATACCCACATCATCCAACAATGTGGATGAATCTCAAAGGCATGATACTAACTGAAATAGTTACAGAAGAGCACATAATGTCAATAATATTAAGTTTTAGAAAATGCAAACTGTAGTGACAGAAAAAAGATCAGTGGTTGCCTGGGGTTAAGCCCTGTACAGCAGACAAAAAGAACTTTGGGGAGTGATAAGAACATTCTGTATATTGATTTTCGATGTGATTTGGCTGAATTTATATTTGTCAAAACTCATTGGATTGTACCTTTTTAAATAATTTATTTAATTAATTATTTTTATTTTGACATATTATGGGGATACAGATTTTAAGGTTTCAATAAATGCCCTTTCCCCCCTCCCCCCACAAGTCTGAGTTTCCAGCATGACCATCCACCAGATGGTGCACATCTCACTCATTATGTGTGTATATACACGCCCCCCTCCCCCCTCCCACCTGCCCAATACCCTATTACTGTAATACCTATGTGTCCACTTAGGTGCTACTCAGTTAATACCAGTTTGCTGGTGAATATATGTGGTGCTCGTTTTTCCATTCTTGGGATACTACACATAGTAGCATGGGTTCCAGCTCTAACCAGGAAAATACAAGATGTGCTATATCACCATTGTTTCTTAGAGCTGAATAGTACTCCATGGTATACATATACCACATTTTATTAATCCATTCTTGGATTGATGGGCACTTGGGCTGTTTCCACAGCCTTGCAATTATGAATTGTGCTGCTATAAACATTCGGGTGCAGGTGGCTTTTTTGTAGAGTGTCATTGGATCTTTTGGGTCGATGCCAAGCAATGGGATTGCTGGATAAAATGGTAGACTCACTTGTATCGCTTTGTATCACTTGTATCTCCATATTGCTTTCCACAGAGCTTGAACTAGTTTACAGTCCCACCAGCAGTGTAGGAGTGTTCCTCTCTCTCCGCATCCATGCCAGCATTTGTTATTTGGAGACTTTTAGATAAAGGCCATTCTCACAGGAGTTAAGTGATATCTCAATGTGGTTTTGGTTTGCATTTCCCTGATGATTAGAGATGTTGAGCATTTTTTCATATGTTTCTTGGCCATTCTTCTGTCTTCTTTAGAAAAGTTTCTGTTCAAGTCCTTTGCCCATTTTTTAATAGGGTTATTTGATTTTTTCTTGCTGATTTTCGAGAGTTGTAAGTATATTCTAGTTATCGGCCCATTATTGCATACATAGGATGAAAAATTTTCTCCCATTCTGTAGGTTGGCTGTATACTTTCATGACTGTTTCTTGGCTGTGCAGAAGCTTTTTAGTTTCATCATGTCCCTTTTATTTATTTTTGTTGCTGC